ACCTTCTCACTCCCAAAGATAACAGACTACTTTCCAAACGGTCTGATGAGTTAGCTGTTAAGGATTCGCTGGCTCTCAGTGTTCAGTGTGCAGGTTCTGTGTCTAATATGGCACCAACGCCTATTTGCTCGAACCCGCCAAGTTGAATCATTGGCGGCTGAAGTGATGAGTCTCAAACAGGAGATTAGAGGGCTCAAGCATGAGAATAAACAGTTGCACCGGCTCGCACATGACTATGCTACAAACATGAAGAGGAAGCTTGACCAGATGAAGGAAACTGATGGTCAGGTTTTACTTGATCATCAGAGATTTGTGGGTTTGTTCCAAAGGCATTTATTGCCTTCGTCTTCTGGGGCTGTACCGCGTAATGAAGCTCCAAATGATCAACCTCTGATGCCTCCTCCTTCCAGGGTTCTGTCCAGTACTGAGGCTCCAAATGATCCCCCTCCGGTGCCTTCTCTTTCTGGGGCTCTACCGACTGCTGAGACTTCTCCTAAGCAACCTTTGTGAAGGCTCCCTCTTGTGTGCTTATTTTGACTCATGTATATGTACATATTTGTAGCTTATCGGGGATATCAATAAATAAGCTTTCCTTCATTTCAACGTATTGTGTTAAATACACCAAAGCCTTCTTCGCTAAGTTCTTTGAATTTTCTTTTGTTAAAGCTTGTATGTTGAAGCTTTCTGAGTGGAGCATGTAGGTTGGGGTAGTGTTCCCTTAATTTCCCGAGTGAGGAAAACTTCTCGGTTGGAGACTTGGAAAATCCAAGTCACTGAGTGGGATCGGCTATATGAATCTTAGAACGCCATTGTGCTCGATCCTGTGTCATGTCCTTCGTTAGATCCAAGTACTCTAAGTCTTTTCTTAGAGTCTCTTCCAAAGTTTTCCTAGGTCTTCCTCTACCCCTTCGGCCCTGAACCTCTGTCCCATAGTCGCATCTTCTAATCGGAACGTCAGTAGGCCTTCTTTGCACATGTCCAAACCACCGTAACCGATTTTCTCTCATCTTTCCTTCAATTTCGGCTACTCCTACTTTACCCCGGATATCCTCATTCCTAATCTTATCCTTTCTCGTGTGCCCACACATCCAACGAAGCATCCTCATCTCCGCTACACCCCATTTTGTGTACGTGTTGATGTTTCACCGCCCAACATTCTGTGCCATACAGCATCGCCGGCCTTATTGCCGTCCTATAAAATTTTCCCTTGAGCTTCAGTGGCATACGGCGGTCACACAACACACCGGATGCACTCTTCCACTTCATCCATCCAGCTTGTATTCTATGGTTGAGATCTCCATCTAATTCTCCGTTCTTTTGCAAGATAGATCCTAGGTAACGAAAACGGTCGCTCTTTGGTATTTCTTGATCTCCGATCCTCACCCCTAACTCGTTTTGGCCTCCATTTGCACTGAACTTGCACTCCATATATTCTGTCTTTGATCGGCTTAGGCGAAGACCTTTAGATTCCAACACTTCTCTCCAAAGGTTAAGCTTTGCATTTACCCCTTCCTGAGTTTCATCTATCAACACTATATCGTCTGCGAAAAGCATACACCAAGGAATATCATCTTGAATATGTCGTGTTAACTCATCCATTACCAACGCAAAAAGGTAAGGACTTAAGGATGAGCCTTGATGTAATCCTACAGTTATGGGAAAGCTTTCGGTTTGTCCTTCATGAGTTCTTACGGCAGTCTTTGCTCCTTCATACATATCCTTTATAGCTTGGATATATGCTACTCGTACTCCTTTCTTCTCTAAAATCCTCCAAAGAATGTCTCTTGGGACCCTATCATACGCTTTTTCCAAATCTATAAAGACCATGTGTAAATCCTTTTTCCCATCTCTATATCTTTCCATCAATCTTCGTAAGAGATAGATTGCCTCCATGGTTGAGCGCCCTGGCATGAACCCGAATTGGTTGTCCGAAACCCGTGTCTCTTGCCTCAATCTATGCTCAATGACTCTCTCCCAGAGCTTCATTGTATGACTCATTAGCTTAATACCCCTATAGTTCATGCAATTTTGTACGTCGCCCTTATTCTTGTAGATAGGCACCAAAGTGCTCATTCGCCACTCATTTGGCATCTTCTTCGTTTTCAAAATCCTATTGAAAAGGTCAGTGAGCCATGTTATACCTGTCTCTCCCAAAAGTTTCCACACTTCGATTGGTATATATCGTCTGGGCCTATTGCTTTTTTATGCTTCATCTTCTTCAAAGCTACAACCACTTCTTCCTTCCGGATTCGACGATAAAAAGAGTAGTTTCTACACTCTTCTGAGTTACTCAACTCCCCTAAAGAAGCACTCACTTTCATGTCCTTCATTGAAAAGATTATGAAAATAACCTCTCCATCTGTCTTTAACCGCGTTCTCTGTAGCAAGAACCTTTCCATCCTCATCCTTGATGCACCTCACTTGGTTTAGGTCCCTTGTCTTCTTTTCCCTTGCTCTAGATAGTTTATAGATATCCAACTCTCCTTCTTTGGTATCTAGTCGTTTATACATATCGTCGTAAGCCGCTAACTTAGCTTCTCTGACAGCTTTCTTCGCCTCTTGCTTCGCTTTTCTATACCTTTCACCATTTTCATCAGTCCTCTCCTTGTATAAGGCTTTACAACATTCCTTCTTAGCCTTCACCTTTGTTTGTACCTCCTCATTCCACCACCAAGATTCCTTTTGGTGTGGGGCAAAGCCCTTGGACTCTCCTAATACCTCTTTTGCTACTTTTCGGATACAACTAGCCATGGATTTGGCTAGCTTCCCCTCGTATAACTAAGAAAAATTGAAGGAACCCAGCTAACAAGTACATTGCATCAACTCATCACAAAAATCCTGCTTGTCTCGTTTACTGTGGAATGCAGCGACATCGGCCATAACTAAGCTCTTAAGTTGCCTAATTCTAAGTAAGTTGAGTGGACTACATGAACATTCTTTCACCAATTCTTCTAATTGATAGCGCTCAAGTCTCAACCGAGAGCAACAAAAGTAATAAGAAAATTCTCAAAGCAAAAAGATGCAAATCGAGTGCTTTTGAAGCAACAAATCCACAATTCAAGCTGGGTAAAACAATTTGAACCATTTCAAGTAAATATTCAATCAAAACAACTGATGCCCAAATAAAATCGATGCAAATTCAAAACTCGAAACAAATTAAGAACTAATTAAATAACATGCACAAACCTAAACGATCCCACATAACCCATAATTCACCCAAAAAAAAAATGTTGATCGACCCTAAATTCTAATAGAAATGGTCAAAACGAAACGAAGAAATTTTTAACAAGATTGAAATAGATATGATCCCAATGTCGAGGGTGATGAATTACCTGATTTAGGGATTGCGATTGTGGGTCGTGGAGAATGGGGAGATCTGAACGAGGTATCGGGATAGTGACGAGAATGGAGATGAGGGAGACAGTTTAACTTTAACGGATGGAGACGACGTCGTACGGCACAACCAACAACAACACAGGGGAGAGAGAGAGAGGGAGGGCGAGAAGGCAGAGACTGATCCTTGCAAAATGATGATGTTATTTGTATCTGCAATAGGGGGGAAAAAAACAACTTTGCGCATCGCAGGTGTGCGTACGTCTCTCAAATCTATTTTGCACGATGCATGTGTACCTACATCGCACAAAGGTTTTTTTTTTACTTTTGTTTTTCTTTTTGGGTTCTTTCATTACCTTTTTCTTTTGTGGTATTTACTTGTGTAAATATTTTAAATTGATGATTGAATTAATTCATTGTATTCATATAGGGTTAAAGAGTGTAGATGTAAAAAATCATCAAAATCGGAGTTAAAATAACTGTTAAATCGTGATTTTTTGTTTATTGCCGTCGAAAAGATTTGTCTCGTTACTTGATCTCTGAATGTTTGTTTTTTGCGATTTTTTGCGTATACGATCTCGAAGCATATACAAACAAGTTTGACGGTTGGATCGTTGAAACTAGTTTCGTACAATGCGTATCCCATTAAAACGATAAATTCCCTAACATTTGGATTTTATTTATACTTTCATCAAGTATAACATAAAATTTTGTGGTATCCACTTGTGTAAATGTTTTAAATTGACGATCGAATTAATTCATTATATTCATATAGGGTTAAAGAGTGTAGATGTAAAAAAATCATCAAAATTGGAGTTAAAATAACCGTTAAATCGTGATTTTCCTTTATTGCCGTAAAAAAGGTTTGTCCCATTACTTAATCTGTGAATGTTTGTTTTTTGCGATTTTTGGTGTATGCGATCTCGAAGCATATACAAACAAGTTTGACGGTTGGATCGTTGAAACTAGTTTCGTACAATGCGTATCCCATTAAAACGATAGAGTCCCTAACACTTAGATTTTATTTATACTTTCACCAAGTATAACATAAGATTTTGTGGTATCCACTTGTGTAAATGTTTTAAATTGGCGATCGAATTAATTCATTGTATTCATATAGGGTTAAAGAGTGTAGATGTAAAAAATTATCAAAATCGGAGTTAAAATAACTGTTAAATCATGATTTTTCATTTATTACCGTCAAAAATGTTTGTCCCGTTACTTGATCTCTGAATGTTTGTTTTTTGCGATTTTTGGTGTATACGATCTTGAAGCATATAAAAATAAGTTTGACGGTTGGATTGTTGAAACTAGTTTCGTACAATGCGTATCCCATTAAAACGATAGATTCCCTAACACTTGGATTTTATTTATACTTTCATCAAGTATAACATAAGATTTTGTGGTATCCACTTGTGTAAATGTTTTAAATTGACGATCGAATTAATTCATTATATTCATATAGGGTTAAAGAGTGTAGATGTAAAAAATCATCAAAATTGGAGTTAAAATAACCATTAAATCGTGATTTTTCCTTTATTGTTGTCAAAAATGTTTGTCCCATTACTTAATCTCTGAACGTTTTTTTTTACGATTTTTGGCGTATGCGATCTCGAAGTATATTCAAACAAGTTTGACAGTTGGATCGTTGAAACTAGTTTCGTACGATGCGTATCCCATTAAAACGATAGAGTCCTTAACACTTAGATTTTATTTATACTTTCATCAAGTATAACATAAGATTTTGTGGTATCCACTTATGTAAATATTTTAAATTGGCGATCGAATTCATTCATTGTATTCATATAGGGTTAAAGAGTGTAGATGTAAAAAATCATCAAAATCGAAGTTAAAATAACCATTAAATCATGATTTTTCATTTATTGCCGTAGAAAAGGTTTGTCCCATTACTTGATCTCTGAATGTTTGTTTTTTGCGATTTTTGGCGTATGCGATCTTGAAGCATATTAAAATAAGTTTGACTGTTGGATTGCTGAAACTAGTTTCGTAAAATGTGTATCCCATTAAAACGATAGATTCCCTAATACTTAGATTTTATTTATACTTTCATCAAGTATAACATAAGATTTTATGGTATCCACTTGTGTAAATGTTTTAAATTGACGATCGAATTAATTCATTATATTCATATAGGGTTAAAGAGTGTAGATGTAAAAAATCATCAAAATCGGAGTTAAAATAACCGTTAAATCGTGATTTTTCATTTATTACCGTAAAAAAGGTTTGTCTCGTTACTTGATCTCTGAATGTTTGTTTTTTTTTTTTTTGGTGTATGCGATCTCGAAGTATATACAAACAAATTTAATAGTTGGATCGTTGAAACTAGTTTTGTACAATGCGTTTCCCATCAAGTTCAATGGTATATATATTTACTAAGTAGATTTTAATTTATTTATTTTGTACTTATAACACTTAAGAAATTGAATAATATATATGTAAAAAGAATTATTGTGGGTTTTTGTTAGAAAAATATATTATTGTGGGGTTTATGTAAAAAAAAATTGAATTTGAAAAGAGTAAAATCATATTTTCAGTAATTTTTATAATAATTTAAGAAAAAAAAACCTTACGCGACGCTTTAACATGATCGTCGCGCAAAACCACTTTACGCGACGTCAAATTGTATACCTAAGTCGCACAAGTTATGATAATTTTGGCAGTGCAATAGTGAAAAATAGGCGCTGTTTTTCAATTTTTCAAGTTTGGACCTCTTTCCCATAGACATCTCTCTTCCCTCTTTCCCTCTTTCCCATATAGATCACTCTCTTCCCTCTCGCTCATCTCTCCTTCTCTCTTTCCCGTAGACATCTCTCTCCTCTTCGTAAGCTTTCCTCTTCACAATCTCGAATCCAACCACCACCACTACCCTCTCGTTCTAAATGATGGGCAGCCATGCGAATCTCGAAACCGAAGCGAATCAAGTCCCAAAGTCAAGGTGAGGGTTTCTAATTTTCGATAGTTTTTGTTATTTAGGGTTTAGGCTCAAATTGCATGTTGGGTTTTTGTCAAATTGATTTTTTCGTGATGTGATTCGAGTTGATTGTCTGAAGTTTTTGCAATTTTGTTGATCTGTATGTGTGTTTTGTGTATGATCTGTGCAAGTCTCCAACTCCAGCTCTCGTCATGCCGTCTCCAACTCCGTCTAACTCTCATCTGATTGTACAATCTGTGCAAGTTCTCTGGCAAATACAAACTCGCATCTCCAGTTTGGCAGGTTTGCATTCCATTTGAGTACATTTCTTATTAGCGTTTTTGTTTGATAAAGTTAAAGTTCTCTGGCAAATACAAACTCGCATCTCCAGTTTGGCAAATACAAACTAGCATCTCTAGTTTGGCAGGTTTGCTCCACAATCTCCAAGTACTTCTGCATCTGCAATGGAAACATCTGATTTGATATTACAGAAAGATAAAGTTAATGGGTTAATTAAATGGTATCTCTGCATCTAGATAATAGATATCAAAGTTTTAATTTCCATTTCTTAATTTGTTTTAACTTTTATAATAGTTTGATTAGTTTAACCATATCAGTAATTTAAGTTATGCTTTTTAAATGGATTAATGGGTTTCCTACTTTGCTTGATATCAAAGTTCTTAACTACATAACTAGATCACCGAAAATATGACTTGAATTTAAGTCTTCATCCCACGTACCGAAAAATGACTTAAATTTGAGTCTCAGTTTAAATTAGTTCATCATTTGTACTATTTAATTTTCTTATTTTTTTTAAGCTGTTGTGTTCTTGAAAGCTTTAAGTGTACCCGTACCCCATTTTCCACTTTATGAGAATGGTTCTCATATTGGTTTGGTTAAAATTTTCTCTTTGAATAGTTGCATATTTGCTGGGCCTTCCTATTCTGGGATATTCTGGGATACTCTCTAGATATGGAAAGAGCATGTCAACCTTACTGACAAAAGGCTCGAGAATTTAGGTGTTCTTTCAACATAAGGTTTGGTTTATACTTGTGTAAATTTGGCAAACGGATCCTTCAACATATAACGAAACAGATTGAGTTAGGAAAATCACAACTAGGTTTTGGAATTTGATAATTTAGGTGTTCTTTTTCTTTTTATTTGAATGAAAATCCCTTTATTGTACATGAGCTAAGAATGTCGCAAGAAGGTAGTGGGATTTGAAGAATTAGGTGTTCTTGATAGTTTTTATTTAGGAAACTACTATCCTTTAAGCTTGTAGAAACTGAAAGAAAAGGGATAGGAGTAGTCATATCTATGTAAAGTTTCACTCTTGGTTAAGCTTATGCTATAAGGATATCGTATTTTGTTAGGTCTGACTTATATTAACAAGGCTGTAAACGGCATATGATATTTTGTGTGTTCTTTCGATTTCTGAGTTTAATTAATTGCACTTTTCTGAGTTTAATATCATCAATAAAGTGCTTCTTAATATATATCGTCAAATATGTAATATTGAAATATGATGCTATGAAATGCTTAAGATATTGACAGTATAGTACATTAATATAATCTCTTTATCACACCCTTCAATTCATGAAGTGTAAGCTTGAGATATGTATCCTTACAGTTTTTACAAGAAAGTTAACTTTATCCTTTCTAGGAACATTCCTATCCTGGTGACATTTTCACTGTATTTCTGATGGATTCCAGATTTCTAGTGGATTTAGCTTAGGGTTTTCCAAAGAGTGTGGGGAAAGCGCGAGTTCGTGAGACCACCTATTCATAGTAGGGTTTTCCAAAAAGTTAACTTTATTTGATTTTCTGATGGATTCCAGATTTCTAGTGGATTTAGCTTAGGATTTCCCTGTTTAATATCTCACGCTGCGTCAATTTCAGTATGAATAGGTGGTCTTAAGGCCATGGTAATTAAGAACCCATTTTTGTCCTTCCCTCGTTACCGATGGTACCCACTTGGTGTGATATCAGGTGGTACAACGGCTAAAATCATGATTGCCGCAAAAGATAACTTTCTGGGGAAATATATATACAAAGATACACTTGCTAGAAATCTTGCTGCAGTTATTTACAGAGTGAGTTTTATTCTTTGTTATTGAATTTATGATCTAGTTGCATATAATTTGTTACTTGCTCAATCTAAATATACATTGTCCGTACTTGTAGCGCCTTATTAAACAAGCTGTTTTTGTGTTCATGTCAAGAGAGTCCAACATTTCTGTGTTCATACAGATTACAGACAAGCTCGGATGCTTCTCTGTAATTGGTATGGACACAAAAATGTTAATTAATCGCTGCTTACGTATATGTTGATTAGTCCGGTAACACCATGGCGTCAAGAGCACCGTAACACTATTTTCTGAAAACCTTAATAACATTAGGAAAAAATCATATGGTCAGTGGAGTTGCTAACAGCAGATTCTATGCATGTGCATATTTAGTGCAACCATTCTATCGAATATTCACCGAATCAATTGATTACTTAGATTTTTTCTCTTCAATTAACTGCTACCTACCACATATTGTTTCCGTCAGATAACAACATCTGGAGTTGCTTCTCTTACCTTCCTACCTATTTACTAGTTAGTCTCTATGGTCATGTGTTTTGTTGAATGGCTTGTACGAAGTAAACTGTTTTTGTACAGTACTTTGATCATATCAATTAGTCTAATAAAGTTTTGGTACCTTTGATTGATTACAACGTTTGGTAATCCCAGTATCGGATTACCCATTCTTTTTTGTTTCACTTGATGTGCTTTTTTTATGTTGGCTATGAAAATAGATAGGTAGTTCCTCTTTTTTGGTTGGTGAGCAGATGAGGGAGCAGATGAAGGCCCAAGGTGAGGAGCTGAAGGCCTATGCCGGGCACGTGAGAGACCTTGTACGAGCCATACAGATGTCTGGCCTCCAAATCTCGCTACCAGTACCTAATCTTGGTACACCTTCGACCTCCGAGCCACTTCACCTAGAAGACTACTTGTAGTTTTTTTATTTTGTTCGGACATCTTGTATGTATGTACATTTTCATATATTTTATAATTAAATATGTTTTTTGGTTAGTTAATTATTGTTTAGAATTTAATTACAATATTATTAAAAATTAAAAAAATATATATTTTTGACCAAAACCAAAAGGCGATCTAATCCATTTTGAGCGACGCAAGCTCTTTGCGTGAAGCAGCTTGCGTTGCGTAAAGTAACTTTGGGCGCGACGCATCCTATGTCTTGCAAAGTGACTTTGTGTGATGCATATTTCTTCTTCGTCGCGCAAACCCTTTTGTCACTGCCTTGCCGTGACGGTTAGCGAGCGATGAAGGTTTGTTGCGCTAAGTTTTGTGCGACGTTTTTTAGACTTTGGGCGACGAAGGATCTGCGTCGTGCAAAGTGTTTTTTGTACTAGTGACTACTAGCAAAGAGCACACACTTTGTGTGTGTATACAATTTCTCTTAATAAGTGTATATTTTTTTAATATTACATAATTACTGTTTTGTTTTCTTTATGTAAATATTGTGTATCAAAAGTGAGGGTAAAATATGAAAAATAAGTATAAAAAAAGGTAAAATAGGGAAAATTGGGATATGATTGTCATTTTGTCAAAAGGTACAAAATTACTATTTTACCCTCCTTTTGTCAATAGTGTCAGCGTGTATCTAAAGTGAGGGCAAAATAGAAAAAAGGGGGAAAAAAGTTGACAATGAGAGTTCTCTTAATAATAGTACTAGCATTTGGCTACACACTTTGTGTGTATGAACAAATATTTTTAGAAAATGAGAAGGGGAGAGAGAGAGAGAGAGGGAGTGGTAGGTTTTTGTTTTGGTTTTTTTTTTTTAATTTTTTTTTATAAATATTAGAGATATTTTAACATCACCTGTAAGTGAGGTTTCATTAAAAAACAGTAAAATTTGGACCTGTGAAATTACATTGTTGCCCATCATTTTTTTTTTTTTGTGTATAGAAGACTAAGCTGTCTTTTCATCCTCTTTTAATTGACAAAGAGGGTTTCATTAATTTTTAGAGATTATATGACCGACCAACTTTTTCGTGATCGATCAAATCCAATTTGTTGGCCCTTGGCCAATCCAATTTTTCGATCTCAATATCATTGTTCAACAATGACTTTAAAGAAAAAAGTTAAGTGGTGAATTTTCTCATAAGTTATCTAATTTATATATATTGTGCATACATGTAAACAATACAAAAAACTTACCCAACAAAACATAATTGAATGTTTAAAGTTGAACCTATTGCTATTTTTTATGTCATTGTTGAACATTGACATGAAATTTTCCAGCGACCGCAAAATTTTCGGGTATTGGCGTTGGTTGGCATATGAGTTGATTGGAGCAAAAATGTAAATATTCATATGCTTATAAATGTACTGGCCACCAATTATGGCTCTGTCCAAACAAAATCGGATGAGAATGTTAGTTTTCCTTAAAACCAGTTTTAATATGAATTTGCTTAATAAAAAATATATATATGTCCGGTCTTAACATGAAATGTCACGCCCCAGATTCGTGATCGATGCAAAAATTAAACTGATCCGCGATGCGTGAATAAATAATTAAAAACGAAAATAGAAGAAATACGCGGTTGAAAATAAACTCCTCTTATACAAATTGCTCCAAAAACTTTACAATTGTAAATAAATATCAAAACTTTGTCTCTCTCGTCTTACACAACCTCAGCTCGTCTAGCCTGTTTATAGATATATTCCTCAGCTTGTTTAGAAAATAGTATAAGTATATCAAAAGCTTTATGACATATCAGGCCGCATAATTCCACATCACATTATCACTTCACGTGTTGGTTATCCTTCAAAATATGTAGCTCACTACATGACCCCTATATTGGCCATTCTGCCCTATTATCCCTGTGCCCTATACATATATCTCTCAGATGACCTAACACTAAAGTTCTCATTCTCCATGAACAATCTCAACAATCCACATAGTATATTTATATATACACATCAAAATGATACATGAAATCACACATGCTTGGCATGAAGGGTGTAAGCATTGAAGTGAAGTCTAATAAGAATGCAACGCAAATGGAGGAGGATTCTCTCTTACTAATCTCTTTTTCCTTTTTTCTCTTCTTACTTAAACGGTTACGATTCAGTCATGTCAATATCTTATATTGATTTTTTTATAAAGACAAAAAAGACAAAAAGCAAAGTGAGATGAGGGGAGGGAAAGAGATGGAAATAAGAGGGGAGAGAATCTTACTCCAATGCAAATATGACAACTAAGCTAGGTGATATTGTTGCTAGGTTGGTAGCAAAGTGAAGGTAGAGTGCTCAATCGCTCAATCTGTTTCAAGATATGAATGAAATGGATTGCTGAATGAAATGGATTGCTAGATGAAATAGGTAGAATTATTTTTTCTAGCACAAGGGCATCACGGGGAAACCAAAGCCAAAGCTAGGAGCATTGTCTAAAATATCGATGATATCGGAATTATCGGTAGTCTAAAGATACGGAAATTTCGTTGGAAATTTTGGGATATTATCGATATCGATAAAAATTGAATAAAAACCACGGAAATTGTAAGAAAAACTTGGAAATTTTTATTGAAACTTTGCAGGATGTTTATTTAGTCAATTATCTATTAGTTTATCACAAAAAATTGGAAGGAAATGCATTGCATGATGGATTTAACTGATTTAAGTTGATTACATAGCGAGCTGGCAAACATTGTGAGTGTAGAAAATATGTAGTAATTAATGAAATAAGTTTAAACACACCATTATAATTTATATATAATGAATTAGTACACTATTTTACACTTTATACATTGCATGGTAAGATACATGAGTGACTTAGTACCACATAGAGTTTCTATCAAGGTCTAAAATATCGATGATATCAGAAATATCGGTAGTAAAAAAACACGGAAATTTCGATGGAAATATCGGGATAATATTGATATTTTAGACTATGGCTAGGAGATAATATGTATATATAAGAAAACCTAATAAAAACCCTTTTTTAACGATAACTAGCAATTGTACACATGTTATGCATGTACTTATTAAAAGTTTGAAAATAAAATTTACAAAGAAAAAAAAAATAAAATGGTCACTAAAACTTTTTAGTGGCGATCTTCAAATGGTTTTTTCGTCGTTGAAGAGTTGTTCATATTTATTGACTGTTTTTGGATAACTATTTGTCACTAAAAATTTATCTTATCTGGGAGAAAAATGTGAAAGAAAAGATATAGGGACAAATGATATTATCTATATACTAAAACCTAAACTAAACGTTACTATCCATTAACAGTAAAGTGGTGAAAATGCCCCCCATTTATTGGGACAAGGATTGTCTACCCTCCCATTTTCCATGCCCTTCTGTTTTACGTGGTCACGGTTAAGCCACGGTAATATTTTATAATTTTTTTATAAGGATAATAAGACAAAAATAAATAGTAATATAAAATGTTGATGTAGCTTAACCGTGACCACATAAAACAGAAGGCCATAGAAGGACATAGGAAAAAAGAAGGCAAGACAATCCTTGTCCCATTTGTTGCCCGATTCTCAGCCTTCTTCCTTTGTTGCACAGTGAAATTACGTATTTTGGTCATCGTGGGAAGGAAATGAGGCTGGATGTACGCATGTTAGTCATCTGGGAAAAGGAGGCTGGATGTACCGGTGTTGGCCATCTGGGAGGGGAAGGAAGTGTTGGTGATGGTGCAACCCTCTCTGATCTCTCGACCTCTCTCAAATGTTCCAGTAACTTTTCCACTTGCTCCCCCTTAATCTCAACCTGAAACCAACAAATCCCAAAAACCCTCAAGCCTTCCAACAAATCGAAAACAACACCATCTTTGCCGAAAATTTTGAATTTTCTCAGGAATTCTCGACTATTCCTGAGATTTTTTGGTGGGCTTTGGTTCTCCGGTCCCGTATGTTAAAGGGTTTTGGCTTTGGTAGCAAATGAATATTGGTGATTTCTAGGGTTTTGTGGTGCTTAATGTTTAGGGATTTGGTTTGGGTTTCTGGGTAAGCAATTTTCATCTTAACTTCAGTACATTTTTTTTCTCAAATTTGTTTGACGGCATGATTTTTTGATCCTTTACTGAATGGTTGTTAAGAAATGCTAGAATTTTAGTTGTTTTGATTTCTTTTGAATTTGTTTTTTATTTTATTTTCAAGCCTTGAATTTTGTAAGGACTATTTCATTATTTAGAGATGTAGTTTCATCTGGGAAGGAGGCATGTTAGTCATTTGGGAAAGGAATTTTTCTTCCTTTGCTACTTGGGTTAAAGAAATTTTTCTGGTTTACACATTTAGCTATTGGATTGCATGAAATCAGTATTTAAAGAATTTTTTGTAAGAGAATGCGTCGATGGAAATTTTTTGCCCAGCAAATTTACTCACAGAGCTTCCTGTGAATTAAGTCTTGAACTTTTGATTGAAACTTTCTTAGAGTTTTTAACATTTTTGTTATTACTGCTTTTGTTTTAGATTTTTCTTTTGTCTGATTTTTATGGGATGTTTATTTGTGTAGGCACTTGGGTGATCACAACATTCCCACTCAGATGAACACAGGAGAGTTCAAAAAGAGCTTTCAAGTGCTACTCAGAAGGTAAAGTAGAATATGCATTCCTTTTTCCTTATTGCTTTCATGTTGGCAGGTATGGAGTTTCCTTACAAATATTTTAATCTGAACTATTGTATACCACTGTCAATATCTTTATTATTATCCCAATTCTCATCATATGATAATCAAGTTAAAAGTAATGCATGCTCAAAGCACTGGTTGTGGCATAACTGGTAAAATGAGGGTTTATTTATTTAATTTTTTTTATGGCAAGAAATGGGGTGATTGGTCCTAAGAGAACCAAAGAGGATGTTAACATTATTATGTGGTGATATTTAGGGATATATGATTATGTAACTTAAAATTGAACATAAAGCATCTGCCCATGTCCAAGGTAATAATTGTTATGTGCTGTTGAGAAGGATTAGATAATGTTTTCACTTTTTATTATAGTGGAGCTTTCTTTTTCATTGTTATAAAGCTGTGGTACAGAACTTTGTGACTTTTTTTGCATAGGTTGATATAATTCATCTGTAATTTATTATTATAATAGTGGCTGTCAGTGTAGGGGATTATCATTTTAAGCAATGCTTAACTAAAACTGCTATATCGTATTGTATCAATTTTGGAATTAAATGATAATTAGAGATCGCAAAGAGCGATGAAACCATCTTTAATGGTGGTTAAGAATTTTGTTATAACATGATTCTTTCCTCTCTGATCTTGGCTTCCAGTTTCTCAGAAAAAGTTCATACTTTTTTTCCTTCAACAAAACAGCTCAAATTCCAAATTTATCGAACAATTTACTGATTTTGTATGGTTTTTTTTTTGTTTAGACTTATTTTCTTAAAACATATGACCTAAATTTTTATCCTGGAGAGAAGAGCTTATGCATTGACTTCGTTGAGTGTTGTCTGCAAGAAAAAGTTACAGACTACATCATTTCATTAGTATTTAATTTTACCTTCAACCTCCCAAATTTTTATTATTTAGTGAAATGACACAAACTTTCTTTTTATGCAGAAACCTTTAGTTAACTTGGAAATTTTCTATTTCACCCACTGATCAATGCCAATGCCAACAGGTAAAGGTGTAGTTAATTGTAAAAACTTCTTCAATATTCTTAGGCATATCCTGATAATACTAAAACATAATTAGAAAAATTTAATTTATATTCAGAATATATGTTTACAAAATAGTTCCCATATATGTATACATTATTTGTCATTCTGTACTGGTGATTTATATTTTTTAAACAATTATCTGTTTGTAAATAGTGATTGGGTGTTTACAGTTTTACTTATACATTTTAAGGTCTTGGAAAAAATCTCTACACTTATTAAATTTATTAGAAGTTTGCGACTATGGGACAGAGGTTCAGGGCCGAAGGGGTAGAGGAAGACCTAGGAAAACTTTGGAAGAGACTCTAAGAAAAGACTTAGAGTACTTGGATCTAACGAAGGACATGACACAGGATCGAGCACAATGGCGTTCTAAGATTCATATAGCCGATCCCACTCAGTGACTTGGATTTTCCAAGTCTCCAACCGAGAAGTTTTCCTCACTCGGAAAATTAAGGGAACACTACCCCAACCTACATGCTCCACTCAGAAAGCTTCAACATACAAGCTTCAACAAAAGAAAATTCAAAGAACTTAGCGAAGAAGGCTTTGGTGTATTTAACACAATACGTTGAAATGAAGGAAAGCTTATTTATTGATATCCCCCGATAAGCTACAAATATGTACATATACATGAGTCAAAATAAACACACAAGAGGGAGCCTTCACAAAGGTTGCTTAGGAGAAGTCTCAGCAGTCGGTAGAGCCCCAGAAAGAGAAGGCACCGGAGGGGGATCATTTGGAGCCTCAGTACTGGACAGAACCCTAGAAGGAGGAGGCATCAGAGGTTGATCATTTGGAGCTTCATTACGCGGTACAGCCCCAGAAGACGAAGGCAATAAATGCCTTTGGAACAAACCCACAAATCTCTGATGATCAAGTAAAACCTGACCATCAGTTTCCTTCATCTGGTCAAGCTTCCTCTTCATGTTTGTAGCATAGTCATGTGCGAGCCGGTGCAACTGTTTATTCTCATGCTTGAGCCCTCTAATCTCCTGTTTGAGACTCATCACTTCAGCCGCCAATGATTCAACTTGGCGGGTTCGAGCAAATAGGCGTTGGGCCATATTAGACACAGAACCTGCACACTGAACACTGAGAGCCAGCGAATCCTTAACAGCTAACTCATCAGACCGTTTGGAAAGTAGTCTGTTATCTTTGGGAGTGAGAAGGTTCCTGGCCACCACCGCAGCGGTCATATCATTCTTCATCACGGAATCCCCAACGGTAAGAGGACCAGTAGGGGAGACGAAGGATGGGCGCCATATGTTGTCTGGAGAAGGCGGGGCTGCCTCTTCAACAAGGTTCAAGTCAAAACGACGGTCGGAGGGGCCAAACATTTTCAAAGGTGTTGAAGAGAGAAGAGGTCGGACAAATCAAGATCTTAGAAGTGCAAGAATGAAGCTTCTACTGGTGGAGATTCAAGTGTGCTTTGGAACTTAATGCCAGCCCCTATAAAAATCTGCACTCGACGGAGCTTCAGAAATCGAAGAGGCGCCTGCTCAGAAATCGAAGAGGCGTTTGCTTTCTCAAAAGCTGGGCTGCTTAGAGATCACGAGGGTTGATCTCAGAAATCGAAGAGGCGTTTGCTTTCTCAAAAGTTGGGCTGCTCAAAGACCACGAAGGCTGATCTCAGAAATCGAAAAGGCGCTCGCTTTCTCAAAAGCTAGGCTCCCCAGAGACCACGAGGGCCGATCTCAGAAATCGAAGAGGCACCTACTTTTCCAGCCTTGTCAGCACCTGTCACACGCACACTCAGCTTTGCGGAAATTATGGGCATTCTGTCGAAGACTTCTGGGGAAGTAGAAAACACATGAATCTTACTGTTCAATCACCCACTTCCCACACGCAACAATAGCTCATGGGTACCACAGAAAACTTTGCCAAAGTTCTCTGCCAAAGTTGAGCACGTGAAGCTTGCAGCTCCCACTACATCGCTCTGACCAAGAAGGGTAAAAGAATAGCAAAGAAACAGCACTAACAAAGTTTAGACCCATAAATTTTGAAGGTCTAGCTACCATATTATTACCCACAAGGGTAAAGGAACAGTACCACTGCTGGATAATGAAAGTCCCTGTGTGTCAACCTCTGTGTGCTTCGTGGCAAGGTAGACTAGCAAACATGCCCAACCTTTACTCACATTCGAGAAAACACTCCCAATAAGATTGCTTGCTCCAAAATCGAAGAGGCACCGTCCTCCGAATCTCGAGAGCCAGACTCCCAACATGACTACTTTCTTAAAAATCGAAGAGAGGGTAAAGGAACAGTACCATTGCTGGATAATTGGAAAGTCCCTGTGTGTCAACCTCTGTGCTTCGTGGCAAGGTAGACTAGCAAACATGCCCAACCTTTACTCACATTCGAGAAAACACTCCCAACAAGATTGCTTGCTCCAAAATCGAAGAGGCACCGCCCTCCGAATCTCGAGAGCCAGACTCCCAACATGATTACTTTCTCAAAAATCGAAGAGACACTGCTCCTCGAATCTTCGAGAGCCAGACCCCCAGCATGATTGTTTTCTCAAAAATCGATGAGGCATCGTTCTCCGAATCAATCGAAGAGGCGCTCGCTTTCTCAAAAGCTGGGCTGCTCAGAGACCACGAGGGCCGATCTCAGAAATTGAAGAGGCACCTATTTTTCTAGCCTTGTCAGCACCTGTCACACGCACACTCAGCTTTGCAGAAATTATGGGCATTCTGTCGAAGACTTCTGGTGAAGTAGAAAGCACATGAATCTTACTGTTCAATCACCCACTTCCCACACGCAACAATAGCTCATGGGTACCACAGATAACTTTGCCAAAGTTCTCTGCCAAAGTTGAGCACGTGAAGCTTGCAGCTCCCACTACATCGCTCTGACCAAGAAAGGTAAAAGAATAGCAAAGAAACAACACTAACAAAGTTTAGACACATAAATTTTGAAGGTTTAGCTACCATATTATTACCCACAAGGGTAAAGGAACAGTACCACTGCTGGATAATTGGAAAGTCCCTGTGTGTCAACCTCTGTGCTTCGTGGCAAGGTAGACTAGCAAACATGCCCAACCTTTACTCACATTCGAGAAAACACTCCCAACAAGATTGCTTGCTCCCAAAACGAAGAGGCACCGTCCTCCGAATCTCGAGAGCCAGACTCCCAACATGACTACTTTCTCAAAATCGAAGAGAGGGTAAAGGAACAGTACCATTGCTGGATAATTGGAAAGTCCCTGTGTGTCAACCTTTGTGCTTCGTGGCAAGGTAGACTAGCAAACATGCCCAACCTTTACTCACATTCGAGACAACACTCCCAACAAGATTGCTTGCTCCAAAATCGAAGAGGCACCGCCCTCCGAATCTCGAGAGCCAGACTCCCAACATGATTACTTCCTCAAAAATCGAAGAGACACTGCTCTCCGAATCTCGAGAGCCAGACCCCCAGCATGATTGCTTTCTCAAAAATCGAAGAGGCATCGTTCTCTGAATCTCGAGAGCCAGATACCACAGACCACTTTTTCAAAGTGCTCTGACAGAGTTAAAACATGTGAAACTGGCAGCTCCCACTACCGTGCTATGACCAAGCAGGGTAAAGGAATAGCATTACTACTTGTTAGGGAGACTCCTATATATGTCGACCTCCATCCCCAACGGACAGGCAGACCTGCAAAAAATGCTCAACCCTTCATCATATCTGAGAGGGCACTCCCAACGAAGCCTTTCGAAATATTCAGCTTTCTTTCCCCCCGATAATACCTCTGCAAACAAGCTATACTAGAGCAAGAATATCTCATATCATCAGGGTTAAAAGCAAGAGTATCCCATATCATGCTTTTTCCCTGTCTTTTCCTTTGGCCTTGTTTTTACCTGCAAGACAAGGAGAAAGAGAGCAATCAGTCAGCACTTGGAATCAAGCTTCCAGCCAGGAACTGACTGCCTGGAACCCCTTACCTGATTACTTACCTGGCATTGCTCTCGAGTATTCATCTTCAACATCTTATGTTTCCAGGGAAGATTCCGCATCTACTTGAGGAACAGATAGGGCAAGTGCGAAGGATACAAGGAAGCATGTGGAGACAAGCGTAACAGCACACGTGCCGATACATCTATTACTCTGTCAAAAGCAAAAGTATCCCATATCAGCAGGGTGGAACGTACTCTAGATTTGATGGACTTGTTTTGACCCTCAAATTCTTCAGTCGGCCTTATACTCTGGAGGAAACCAGAAAACGCTCAGTTCAAGAATAAGCCTGTGGAAAATTACTTCTTCAAAAGCAAAAGTATCTCATATCATCTCTTCTCATTTTTCTTCTCTTTATCCTTCATGCTGCTGCAAGATGGGGAGAAGGTGAACAATCAGTCGGAGCTCTGATTGCTTACCTTGTCTGTCACCTCTTTCAGCAGACCCCCTAGCTCGGCGACTTGGGGGACTCCTACTACATGGTTTGTATCGCGCTTGACCAAGCCTGAAACTACAAGTAAGCTTCAAGTGAAATTGATACATTACCTTGTGCATCTCCACCAGTTAAAGATACCACCCCTGGATGGAGGAAGAGTACTTCCAGAGAAGATGCCACATCTACCTATGAGACAGATAAGGCAAGTCAAGACGACACCACTCCGATACTTAGAAGTTTCGTGATTACGAGATCATTCTCCCACAATATTTCCTAATGTCATTTGTACTAAATCATTCACTTGTACTCACTAAAGGAGATCTTGAACCTATGTACTTGTGTAAACCCTTCACAATTAATGAGAACTCTTCTATTCCGTGGACGTAGCCAATCTGGGTGAACCACGTACATCTTGTGTTTGCTTTCCTATCTCTATCCATTTATATACTTATCCACACTAATGACCGGAACAATCTAGCGAAGATCACAAAAAGCGACCGTTTTCGCTACCTAGGATCTATCTTGCAAGAGAACGGAGAATTAGATGGAGATCTCAACCATAGAATACGAGCTGGATGGATGAAGTGTAAGAATGCATCCGGCGTGTTGTGTGACCGTCGTAGGCCACTGAAGCTCAAGGGAAAATTTTATAGGACGGCAATAAGGCCAGCGATGTTGTATGGCACAGAATGTTGGGCAGTGAAGCATCAACACGTACACAAAATGGGTGTAGCGGAGATGAGGATGCTTCGTGGGATGTGTGGGCACACGAGAAAGGATAAGATTGGGAATGAGGATATCCGAGGTAAAGTAGGAGTAGCCGAAATTGTAGGAAAGATGAGAGAAAATCGGCTCCGGTGATTTGGACATGTGCAAAGAAGGCCGAATGACGCTCCGGTTCGAAGATGTGACTACGGGACAGAGGTTCAGGGCCGAAGGGGTAGAGGAAGACCTAGGAAAACTTTGGAAGAGACTCTAAGAAAAGACTTAGAGTACTTGGATCTAACAGAGGACATGACACAAAACCGAGCGCAATGGCGTTCTAGGATTCATATAGCCGACCCCACTTAGTGGGAAAAGGCTTTGTTGTTGTTGTTGTTGTGGTTTTCTTCTGACTAAGGTTCAAATTCATTGTTACTTTTGGTTTTTGAAGTGTTTCCCAATTGGGAATTGGCTACTCTTTATTTGGTTCTCAGTGAAAAAAAATTTAGGTGTTCTAGGTGATTAGTCAGCTAGCTACATCACAGTATTTACTCTCAATGTTGGTTTATCTGCAGTATAATGAGTGGACACAATTAGACATCAAGATCGGGAAAATTTGGTGCTAAACATTTTCATCCTACTACAGCTTTTCTAAAGATTTTATGCAGTAGCACATTTACAAAATAGTATTTTCAAATTAATTAACAATCTCCTTACAAATACATTAACAAACATCTATACACATATGCATTTAGGTTGAAGCACAGTTGAGAATCTTGAAACAAGATAATTCAATCATTTTAGAGGATCAGGTTAACCTGTGATTATATAGTTACATTTTGATAAAACCCGGTTGAAAATTTTCAGTTTCTTATTATTAATTTTTATTTTTATTTTTATTTAGCTTCTTTTTATCAATTTGTTTTATTTTGTTAGAAAATTAGGCCTTTATTTATTTGTTTGGTACAAGTTTTCTATTAAGGTTTAAATAAGATTGTTAAATTAGTTATATTGCTTTGAAGCATAGTTTATTTGCATTTTTAATGAACGAATTTCAGTTTGTAACGCTTCGGTTCTTTCATTTGCAGGTATTTAACTATTGCGTTTCTAAATTTTTTACTCCAATGATTAAAAAGAGGCTTTTGTAAACTGGGAAAAACTCCTGCATGTATTGTTTCTATCACATAAAACTATACCTTCTCAGCCATATTGTTTCTATGGCATAAAATTATTGCCACATCAAAGTATAGAGTAGACACATAGGCACAAGCCACCTTGGAAATAAAGTATGGTTATTAATATTTAATTAATTAATTGATAAAAGTTGGTGATCCTGATTTAAGGCTGCACAAACTAAATTTGTTGAGGGTAGACTCAAATTTGGGTAAAAACCACAAATCTCAAATTCTTTTTAATTTTTGTTCATTGCAGCTTCAGTTTATTCTAAAGCCATGTTTATGGAAGAAAAAACGAACTCCCCACTACGAAATCCAAGAAAGGTAGTAATCTTCTCTTTCTTTGTCAACTTGTTAAAAAATGATTTCCTAACCATTGTTGTTTACACTTTTTCGCTTACAGTGTGAAGAAGTTGTTCATTATCTGATTGACCCTAGCCTTTGTTGCCACCACAACTGATACACATTTCAATTCATTTTCTGTAAGTAATGTCTCGGTCTTTCTCCATATTTCGGGAATTCAATCTGCTGGGCTTTCTACACCCACAAAACTGTTCTATACATAATATCTCATTAACACGGCCAGGATCCAGTTTTAGTTTCTTTGGACCACATTTTTCTATTAGCTAAACCTCAAACTCCGGCTAAGAGTTGAAATTTGTCTCTAAATTGTTCAAACTATTGTTCTGATGTTCCGGATCTTTAATTTTTTTGTGTGCTCTTAAGGCCAAATACATAAACATCCATCTACTCTTATATTTTTTTAGGTATTTTAAGAATAACCCTTTCTTGCTTTTTTTTTTACGATTTTGTATCATATGGTATGAATCAACATTTCCCCTGCTATGTTGCAAATGATTTTACATTTCTTGGTAAAAAAGTTGTTAAACAATGTGGTCAGCTTTTTGACATTTTGTTATACAGTTTCATATGTAGAATTTGCAAGTTTGAATCATGTTTTTCTTTTCAGTTATATGTTTGAGATGCTGCATTCTCCAACTAAGCTGTTGTAAAGCTTTTGTATAAAACTTTTAGTTGCTGAAAGTGTTTGATCCATTCTAGCAATTACTCTACTAAATTATGTCTAATTTTTGAATGCCCTACCAAAATAAACAAATCATTTTAGTTAGTTTAGGCGAAATCATATAAATTTTAACATTATAGTATTTTAGCTGTTGTGCATATATCTCAAAATGACACTTATCTTTTGTCTTTTATAAATTTGTATTATTGTGTCTTTCATATATAACACTCTTATACTCTCTTACTAATTTTTGTTACACAATCGATCACTCACAGGTCATACTATTCATAAAGTGGTTCAAAGAATTTCAAGCGCTTCATTCACCCAATTTTTGCTCTTCATGTAAAAATTCTTTCAAAAAGCTGAAACATCATTCAATGTAAATAACATTAACCTTCTTTGACAATCCCTTATAGCTTTGAAACTGATTTTTTCATATAGTTTCTAATCATGCAGCAACGCGCGGGCAATGTTTCTAGTGGTTACCTAGTTGTGAGGCTTTAAAAAAAATAGTAAAATTGTTTTGTATTTAATTACTATATTGCCTGCAATTCTTATCTTGGTTGTTTTTCTTTAGTTTTGTTAATGTTAATTTTGTCTTTTCACCATCTTTTAGTTGATAAAGAGAATTTTATTAATAAGTAGTTTAGATAATGAATATAAATTTTGAAAATACAGAGTCTCATATAAAATTAATGAATACTAGAGTATATGAATCTACATATACAAAGAGGGAAAAAACAAAAATGATGAACTTTCATAATACCGAAATTGACCTTCTCTCATTAGAAATTTAAAAAACAAATAAATAAATATTCACAAAAACAACCCAAGGTAGTGAGCCTGGGTGATTAGTAAGTTCATTATTTTTTGAAATATATTTTTTATAAAAAATAAATATTAAATAAAAAAGAGTTCAATGCTGCACGTGTATGACAAGAGGTTAGTGATAAGAAAGAGAGATAAAAATAAAGTTGTAAGAAAATAAATTGCGGTTTGTAAAAAAAAGATGAATAAGTTTGGGGTGTTGTGACCCACGACTAGGGATGGGCAAATACCCATTGGTTATGCGTAACCGCGGTTATTTGTATATTTAAATTTGACGGTTACGGTTATGGGTAACTGTTTAGAGGGTAACCGCGGTTATCAGTCCATTTAAATTTAACGGTTACGGTTATGGGTATAACTATTTACCCGTGAAATTTAAATGGGCGGTTATGGGTATTACTCGCTGTTATAAACGGGTACCCATTTAACCATTTATTTTAATATATGTAAAACTAAAAAAAAAAAATTAGTTTCTAACTAGGTTTAGTATCCCCAGATATATTTGGTAATAAAGGCCCATATAATATATATAGATGCCTCACTTGAGAGAAAAATATAGTTGATAGAATGGGCTAATGTTTAATATATGTGATTGAATGTGCTAAAGTATTAAAGTGTTCGATAGTTTTGTTTTAGAGTCTTTTGGAGTTTTGACAAATTCAAGATAATGATTAGCTTGAGCATTTAGAAACATGTTATTATCAGATGATACATACCTATATATATATATATATATATATATATATTCAATTGGCCTCGAGTTTTCAATAAATATTTGACCCCAAAATTAGAAATCGATTAAATGGCTTGGATCGATGAACATATGTTTCTAAATAAAAATCCAAATATTTATCAAATTAGCTTATTAGCAGATTGATGCGTACTTACATATATATATATATATATATATATATACACAGAGAGCTTAAGGGGAGGGATCCCCATTTTTTGAAAAAAATGGGGATTAGGTGTGGGGCCCACTTCACATCAAATTTCAACGATCCGAACCGTCTATTTTGTTAGTCTCGATTCATAGATCATCCTTGCAAAAATTCAATTCAATCCGAAACCATTTGCCTATTTAATTATCAATATCAAATTTCATATTTTCTTATATAACAAAGTATTCGTTCATTTCCTTGAACCCAATTAGATGTCTTAAACCTTTCCAATTTAGCTAATATTTTGCAAGGATGATCTATGAATCGAGACTAACAAAATGGACGGTTCGGATCGTTAAAATTAGATTGAAGTGGGCCCCACACCTAATCCCCATTTTTTTCAAAAAATGGGGATCCCTCCCTTTAAGCTCTCTGTGTATATATATATATATATATATATATATATATATATGTATGTATATGTATACAAGAATATTAATTAACCTACAACCATGCATGATTCTTGTAATAGATTGACCGTCAAATAATTGGGAGACATCGCATATATTCATAAATAATATTGCCGTTAATATAAAAATACATGTTAAATGTACTTACAACGGTATTTAATAGTTAGAAAAAAGAAAATTATGACAAATTTCTTTTTAATTTTCAAGTTGTTAAAAAAATAGGTAGACGGGTAAAAAAAAAAAGGTAAACGGGTACGCGGTTATGGGTAAATGGGTATGCGGTTATGGGTATGGTTAACCGTTTATAAACAGTTATGGGTATGGGTATACCCGTTTATGTAAATACACAACGGGTAAACGGTTATGCGGGTAAAAGCTTAAACGGTTATGAGAAAATAACCGCGGTTATCCGCCTGCCATAACCGTTGCCCATCCCTACCCACGACCTCTCGCACCTGGAACGAGAACCATACCATTAGACCAAACATCCACTATTTTTACGCTTGACCTATATTCTTATCTTAAACAAGAATAGTTTTAGCTTCTTAATCCATAATTGTACACTGCCTGAGCTACTTTCCGTTTTTCAAAGATGCAGTTCATACACGAAGACGTTGATGTTTGTCTTCGACGTTTTGTCGGTGTGTGTCTGGGCCTAAGTTTGATGACATTGTCGGTTGGATTTTAGAAAAGGAATGAAAGGAATAGTGGCTTTGCTAATAATGCAGAGAGTGAAGGATATAAATGAAATAATACACATTTTTGCATTAATGCTGCACAAGTAGTTACGAAATATTTAAAAAGCTTCGGGTTCGATGCTTTGAGCTGGTTAGTCTGTTTAACTGTGGTTATAGGTAGGGTGAAATTTCTAATGTAATCTTCAACTGTGCTTCAATATAATTAACAGGAGTAAGCGTTATTGCTTGTTTCCAATACTCGGCGGCTTGATCGAACCAAGCCTGCGCAATTTCGGAATCTCCTTGTTGAACGGCCTGTTCTCCCTAGTCGGAATAGGGGGGGCGGTAAATTCCTTCCCTTAGAACCGTACTTGACAGTTTCCGACCTCATATGGCTCAACAGTCAAATTCTTTTGGTGTCCTATTTTTTTAATACCCTATCTAATTGAATGAGATTTCTCAAAGACATATCCTATTCTTTTTTTCTCGAGTTAACCAAAAGAAAGAGGTCTCTTCGGACTCGGAAGGGGTGAATAATTGTGGCATGCCATCAGTTGTTACTCTTTTAAAAGAAAAGAAATACTCAAAAAGCTTTACTTCAGTTTGCCGTACATTTTGTAGCTAGGTTCGAACTTATGAGAAAAGCATATTTACTTAACATAAACGAGAGAAGGAAAGAATCAGAAAACTTAAAATGGGAGGAAGTGAGGAAGTGAATAAGATCATCTAGCTCCATTAATTGATATGATTCTTGATTTTTTGTTTTTATTACAGATTTTAAGGTAAAATTCACATTTTTGCGATTTTATATGTGTTAGTTGTTAGGATGCCAAATGGCATCTCTGCATTGGATATTAATTTGTACAGTTGTCATGTTCATTGGTTATTGGGTAACTAATAATTATAAATTTGTTTTAGGAGAGGGAGCATTTTTGCTCACCACCATAAACTATGGTGTATGCTCACCATACACCTAATCAATTAGCACGTGTTCTTTCACTTAATCTTAGTTAATTTTTTTCAAAATTGAAAAACTAACATTTAATGTGAAAGTTAACTAGAGCTAGGTGAAAGAACACGTGTCAATTGATTAGGTGTATGGTGAGCATACACCATAGTTTATGGTGGTGAGCAAAAATGCTCCCGCCTTTGAATTGCTTGTATACTAGCAAATTAGCAATTGTACCCAAAGCTCCATGTTGAAGATATTGATTGGTGTTTTGGTTCTTGAGCAATGACAATTATTATTCTTGTATATACGAGTCAAGATTCGTTGTCTAGCATTGGTAAACAAGTTATGTAGAATGATTCTCGTGCCTACGTTTTAGTAAATATTTGAAGCTGAATTGATTCATGTTTTTATTCGCTGCACATAAACATGTTCTTACTTGATATGCATAGTTTACAAATAAAATCCGTTGCAGATGATTCCACATATGATTTAACCTTGAATCCAAGCGTGCTAAAGAAATGAATAATAAATAAAACACTGTCACAACTGTTAGTATACGAAAATTTAAGATTTTTTTCTCTCTTCCTTACATGGTCGTATCAATGACTTAATACTATAGGTACACTTAGAGCACTTCCACCGTGCTCTTTTGCCCTATGGGCAGGCCCCATTTGCAATCCAATCCCCTTCAAAGTGGTGCCAGCCCATTCGAGCAATTAAGCTGAGGGGGAGCCCATAGGAGAGCTTAGGCACAAGTCCAAGGCTTGAGCGCCTGAGGGGGAATGATGCAAGGCTGACGTCAGCCATGTTATAAAATATTTTGCGTCAGGCATGTGCATAACACACGAGCATGGGGAGTGCGTTACCGACAAGATTTTAGGCGGTGGGGCCGACATTGTAGCCCACTAAGTAGCATTGCATCTGGACCGTTTGATTTCCAAATCAACGACCTAGATTTTTTCCGTTTTAAAAATTAAAAAATAAGAAAAAAATATAAATGTTTTGGAAGGGACACGTGTCACAATCTGGACTGTTGGATTTCAAATTTTTTTGTAATCCGACAGCTCAACTTAATTAAGTTAATAAAAATAAATAAAAAAATCTGAAAAAATTAAAAAAAAATTAAAAATTAGAATTTTTTTTCTATAAATACCTTACCATTTTCTTTCAGATAATGACACATGGACGTGACGAGATCAGTTAAAAATCCAACCCGAAATTAAAAATAAAATTATTTTTTATTATTTTAGAACAAATGAAATACTAATATTTTATTGCCTATTGTCATGGCTATTCAGTTTAAGGGTGAAGATGCAAAAGACAATTATTGTTTATTAAAGACAATTACTATTCACTGGAGGGGATTGAATTGCCTATTGCCAATGGGAGCCTTTACACATTAAAAGTGCTCTTAGGAGCAATTCCACCCATAATCAAGGGCAAGTGCTTCTGGATTGCCCGTTAAACTAAAAAATGTCCTCCAGCAAGTGGTGAGCCAAGCCAAACCCGACCCAATGTTCGTGCAAGAATTGCTTAGCCTTTCGTTCCGCCCACATTCCTTTATTTTGTACAAAATACCTACAGTTGTCCCCTGTATCTACAGCTTGATACAGGACTCAAGCCCACACGTGGAATGATGTCTAACCCCATATTGGGAGAAATTTTTCATTGTAACGGGAACACGGGTGGTACACCACATCTTTTTATGTAAGTGGTGGGAAATTTTATTTTTTAAGTTATTAACTTTTTAACACATACAAATCCTACCATTTGTATAATAACATGTGGTGTACCCCCTCGTGTGCAGGTCACACTGAAAAATTTCTCCCATGTTGGCAAGTTTCTTGTTAGGGGGTGTTTGTTTGCCTTCTTTAGCTCTCACTGGACTGGCTTAGATTAAAAATTAGTGCAATCCGTGTTTGTTCATTGGCGGGACTAAGTTTAATGGGACAAGGGATGACTCGCCTCGACTAAATCCCTCACCATGAGGTCTTAGCAAGGCCCCCCAAAAACAATAGGATTGCTAGTCCCGTCTCCCTCATCTGCAAGCAGCGTCCCACAAACCCACATGAGCAGCATCAACCCCCTTCTCCTGTGACCAAACCAAAAACAGTTGTCGCTGATCTCCGTCATCTCGCAAACCAAGCGCCCTTTTACCATCTGGGTCGGTGATTTGGGGGCTTTTGCCATATAGGTTGACCTGAACGACGGCAAAGACGGGTCTTTTGCTACCTCTGCTTCGCTTTGCCCCTCCCATCTCCTTCTTCCCTGCTTCCCACAACCAGAAAACCCAAAAAAATTGAACCCATAAAAGCCAGAAGACCGAACCCAGAAAGCCCAAAAAGAGATGGAGAGACGGAGAGGGAGGAGAGAGTAACTTTGGGGACGATTTTGCAGGAAAATGGTTTTGAAGTGTTTTGCAGAAAAAAAAATGGAATTGAACTTTGAAGCATTTTGAAGGAAAAAATATGGGAGGAAAGGAAATAATGGGCGATGAAACCAAAGAGGAAGAAGGTACTCTCTAGAGAGAGGTAGAAGCGTAGAGAGTGTTTAGAATTTTTAGAAGGAAAAGGTTGAATTCATAATAAAATATTATTAGATATATATTAAATATTAAATATTATAATTTATTAATTATTTTATTTTTTAGTTCGATACTGCATCAAACATTTCACTAACTTAATCTAGTTTAGTCTAATCTAAGCCAATCTAACTTAGTCCCCGAAGCTAGTCCAGTTAAAAATATTCCGGTACAACAAACACACCCTTAGGAGCTTGAGTTAATATTTTGTACGAAATACCAATAAATTTGCCTTTGCCACTATGCTCTCTGACTGCTCTCATTCGAGCAACTTAACTTTTTCCATGTGCTCTATAATTCCACAATTTTAGAACCCACCCCACCATACCCATACGAATAATCAATTTCATAAAATTATAGCAGTTTTTGAATTTTGATCCAGTTGGAGTTTAATCATTGAAATAAAAATTTGTGACCATTAGTTTTTGTATTTTTACTGTGTGTGAAGTGATGGTAGTAGGGAAAAGAATCCTATACTCCCTCTGTTATAACTTCCGTCCCTAATTTTCCTCTTAAAATCCATTAATCTGACTAAAAGTTCTAATAGTGTTATTAGGAGTATTGCTCCATATTGTGACGAGTTTCGAAACCAATACTCACATATTTTTAATTTAGGAACCAAAATTTCAATTGAATGAAAGCTTCAGTTAGACCAAATACAAATACATTACAAATTCAATTTTCTCTAGCTAATTTCAATTTTGACAAAGAAAAGAGATGATGAGGTTTCAATTTGAACTTCCAACTCCATTAGCCTCCTATTGTAATTGAACAGGCACAAGATGAGTGTGTGTCCACATTTAATACATAAATTGGACTATTGATGAGAGGTTGTTATGAAAAATTGGTTGATAGTTTAGTTGATATGATGATCACGTGAATTAGGTATTTGCTTGCAAATGCCACCATTCGTTTCCTCTTTTAGTCTCCCAACTGTGACAAATTAAACCACCAAGCCCCAATAAAAGAAAATAAATGGGGGCTCATGAGGAAAGGGCGCGCTCTATTGAAGATTGCAATTCGAAAATTTGACATAATAAATTATAATTTATATTGAATAGTTTCACTTGTAATTACAGTTGTCTTTTTTATAAAAATCAACACTTGTCGAGCTGTGCAAATAATTAAGTTGAGATAATATTGGTGCAAGTAATTAAGTTGAGTCAATATTAGTGTAATTACATTGAATGGTTCACCTCTCATTCTTGACCAAGTTTGATTCTCGTTTACATTCCAAGAGTTGATGTATTCCAATACGTGCATAAATAATCATGCATGTGTTAGATGGTGTAGGCTTGATATACATTTTATATGTTTGTCACTCTTATTTCACAAGTTGGGCTATTCTTGCATGTGCATAAATAATCTCACACATGTCAAACAGTGTAAGTTTGATATACATTGTTGACTCATTCCCTTACAGTTTAAGTATTTAGGGACATGAGTTGATCATATAACATAAATTACTTGGGTAAATTAAACGTGGGTTTGTGTAAAAAGCATGGTATTAATGGGATCCGTGTAAGTAGGTTTAGACAGATAAGATATGCAGTTGGGAGTTCTTGAATGAATGGCATTGTGATATGGAGGATGAAGTCGGTATGCACGTTACGGTCCTTTTCTTCTCCCCTAAACGCAAGGTCACCCCTAAAGAAAGGGTCCCTACCCTAACCTCATGTGAAGCCCTTAAATTTCAGTGTCGATGTGCTTTTAGATCAAAGTGCTTATAAACCCTATATAATAAGCTTTGTAAAGATGGGTAATACCAACAGCTTATAGAATAAGCCGTTTTCTTCTTGATCTTTTCTCTCCCCCTTACGTCTGTGTTGGGGGTGCGGTTCCAATGAAGATTCTCCAGAAGTGCTTCTGGCTGTGTCTGCTTTTTGTGAGCTTTAGCCATGCTGAGCAGACAGTTGAGGTAGTAGGGGTTGGAGAATGTACTGACTGTGCTCGGAATAACATTAAGACTAGCCATGCCTTTTCTGGTAACAAAATTTCTGTTTGCATTTTCTGTCATAAGTTGCTAATATTTTAGGTATTTTTGCATTGCCATGCACATTACTATGTTGCAATATTGCATGAACTTCAAAAGTGGACAGCAAAGTGACTATATTTGGAATAGTAATGTTAGTGAGACTAAATTTGTACATAAAATTTTGTAAACTAAATGACATGAAAGTTGATGATTGGATTATTACTTAAGTATTGAGAAATATGCTCATAAACTTAACAGTTTCACTGAAGTTTCCGCTTTCTATGTATGGAACTTATATATAGCTTAGAGCACTTGCTCATACACTTAACTCTTGCTTTCTTCCTCTTGTGAACTAAGAAACCAATTAGGGTTTATTCTTGACCTAAATTGTTATTAAACTTAGCTACAATTTTACAGGTCTTCGTGTAACAATTGACTGCAAGCCCGAAAATGGGCACTTCAAAACAAGAGGAGTTGGGGAGCTCAATGAACAGGGAGAGTTCAAAGTCTCACTTCCTAAAGAGATTGTGAAAGAAGAAAACCAATTAAAAGAGGAATGTTATGCCCAACTCCACAGTGCATTAGCTGCCCCTTGTGCTGCCCATGACGGCCTAAAATCCACGAAAATAGTCTTCAAGTCCAAGGCAAGTGATGGGACGCAAACCTTTGGAGTGGCTGGTGGAAATCTCAAATTTTCCCCTGTGACTTGCACTTCTGCCTTCTTTTGGCCTCACAAGAAGCACCCACTTTTTTCCAAATTGCCACCTTTGCCTAAGTTGCCACCTTTCCCTAAATCTCACCCAATTTTTGGACACCCATTCCCATTCCCTCCTAAGGTGTTACCTCCATTCCCACCTAAGGTCTTCCCTCCAAAAATTCCAATCTTCAAGAAGCCTCTTCCTCCACCAGTGCCAATCTACAAGAAGCCTCTCCCTCCACCAGTGCCGGTATACAAGAAGCCGGTCCCTCCCCCCGTCCCGGTCTACAAGAAGCCTCACCCTCCGCCCGTCCCAATCTACAAGAAACCTCTCCCTCCACCTGTCCCAGTCTATAAGAAGCCTAACCCTCCACCAGTCCCAGTATACAAGAAACCTTACCCTCCACCAACACCAATCTACAAGAAACCTCTCCCTCCTCCCGTCCCAGTCTATAAGAAGCCTAACCCTCCACCAGTCCCAGTATACAAGAAACCTTGCCCTCCACCAAAACCAATCTACAAGAAACCTCTCCCTCCACCTGTCCCAATCTATAAGAAGCCTCTTCCACCACCAGTTCCAGTATACAAGAAGCCACTTCCACCACTAGTCCCCATATACAAGAAGCCATTTCCACCACCAGTCCCAATATACACAAAGCCACTTCCACCACCAATCCCAATATACAAGAAGCCACTTCCACCACTAGTCCCCATATACAAGAAGCCACTTCCACCACTAGTCCCCATATACAAGAAGCCATTTCCACCACCAGTCCCAATATACACAAAGCCACTTCCACCACCAATCCCAATATACACAAAGCCACTTCCACCTCCCATCCCATTCTACAAGCCAAAGCCACATCCATTCTTTAAGCCTCTCCCTCCATTGCCAAAGATTCCTCATCCATTCTTTAAGAAACCACCACTCCCACCACTCCACCCAAAATATTACTTCCCCCACCCAAAGCCCAAGCTTCCTCTCATCCCCAAAATCCCATAAATCCTTCCCCCACCCAAAGATTGGCAAGTTCCCACCCCTGCCACCTTTGGTTCCTCAATATCCCTAGGCTATTGAAGTACTATATATTCTTTCCAGCTGTAAGTAGAAGCTAGCATCAACGTTGTGTGGTGAAGTGAAAGCATGAAGCAATTTAAGATCACAATAAATTAAGCCTTCAAAAGTTCAACTGTTCAAACCTTGAAGAGAAGCAAATATCAGAGAGATAGCTGATAGAGTGGAAGACTGTTTATTTATAAGTTATTATTTGACTTGTTTGGATTGTGTTTCTTTACATTGTAATATCACAATTATTTTTGAAAAATTTCAGGTGGATATTACTTATGTTACAGTGTTACTTTTCATGTTTTTCGTGGTAAATATTTACTATTCTGTTGTCATTCCCCTTGAATTTACAGTGGTGGAAATTCAAGTTTCATGTATTTTATGTGGGTGTTATATCGCATACAAGTTAACCATGACTCATCAGAAAAGTAAAACCTTATGAATCCGATTCTTTAGCTACTAAATCTTTCGTTTCATTAGACATTAGTTGTAAGCATTTATCATTTATAACACATCCAATTTTTTGATACACGCGATATTAGGAGGACGAGTGGTTTGAAAGTATGGGCAATGCTATATTGCTTGTGACATACAGATTCAATGCGTTTTCTTCTCAGCACAAGATCTAATGTAAACAGAGTTAGTATTATCGGTTTCGAAGGGGCCTATCTAGTTCACATGTCGACGTCTCAACCAAATATAAAAGGGTATGCATGCATGCAATTGATGCATGGATTGATCCTTGGCTTAGGTCGTTTTCCCAGCAGAAGATTTTTCATGCTGCTTTCAAGTTTGTACAAGACACTTTGAAAAGTATGTGGCCCATAAAATTAGTAGGTCTGTACTGGTTTGACACTAAAGTGTTTTGAATAAAAGTTGCTTATTTTATAATTTTTTATGTTCAAGGTGTTTTGTAAATTAAAGAAAAAAGAATTATTTTGAAAGCTGTGATGATTGACAGCAGAAATCACCAGAAAAGCTGAAGCTGCTAAATGCTGTTTTGAAAAACTAGGTTTTTTTCAAAACATGCGGAGTTACGTTGCATCTTTAATGAAACTTTCTAAAGTCCAATAACACCCTCGTCATTTTTATAAAATGACAATCGTTGTCCCTCTTCTTGCGTCGCCCACTCTCCCGATCATCCCTCTCCTCCCTTCTTTTTCCTAAGACTTCCTCCCTTTCCCAAATCAGCTCAATTTGAGCAGCACCACCAGCAACCCTTGTCAATGGGGCTGAAACACCTCACCCCCTCCCAGATGTTGAATTGTGGCCAAGTGACCATCACCTTTCCTAATAAACAAACCAAAAGAAAAAAAAAAGGGGAAATGACAACATGATTATGTTTCCTTGTTTTGGGGAAAAGAAGTGAAATTTGTCTAAAGTTTTTTCTTTGGTCCATGTGAGAAGTCACGGGACTCTTTGGTTTTTAACTAGCAGCAATAGCTGCCTTTTGGGGTGGGAGAAAGGTTGTCGCATAGAAGAAAAAAATTAGAAGGGAGCAGCAGAAAGAAGAAGAGAGGTACGCAGCTCCCATATAAGAAAGAAAGGTGATTTTCTTTCTTGGTTAGTTTTCACTCCATCAAAGTTTTATTGTTGTAATAGCTTTGAGCTTTGTATAGAGAAGAAATTAATCACTATATTTCTTTCTCTATTTGTTTCTTTAGTGTGTGAGAGTTATTGGGTGTATTGGGTTATTTGGGTTGAGAGATTGCCAACACTTTGTAAACTCCCATTTGGTTGATAGTGGATTATTGGGTGAGCTCCTACTGCTCCGAGGACGTACTCCAGTTACACTGACTGTTGAGGAACCTCGTTAAAATCTTGGTGTCTTTAATATTTTGTTCTTGCATTTTCATTTGATAAATTTCCTGTGGGTTAGCTTGAGTTGGTTCCAACGGGTTTGGTGCTATCCTAGCACAACAATTGGTATCAGAGCACTAGTTGCTCTTGGGTACTGTTTAGTTGCCAAAGATGTCAGACGGGCAAGATGAGAATCCTTTTGGAAGCAGCTTCGGGTTTGCAAGAACTACGGTGCAAAATGCAAAGTTCGAAGTGGAAAAGTTTGATGGCACAAACAACTTTGGGATGTGGCAATGTGAGGTCAAAGATGTGTTAGCTCAACAAGATCTACTTGCCGCTTTGGGAGAGAAGCCGGAAGCTATGTCGAAGCCGGAATGGGAAAAATTAAATTTGTAGGCTTGCTCTTCAATTCGGTTGTGCCTTGCAAAAACTCAGAAGTATTTTGTGATGCGGGAGACATTAGCAAGTGTGTTGTGGCAAAAATTGGAAGACAAGTATATGACAAATAGTGCAGAGAACCGGCTACACTTGAAGAAAAAGCTCTACCGCTTCCAATACAAAGAAGGTACAAAAATGATTAGACACCTTGATGTTTTTAATAAGTTGATTGCCGACTTGTTAAATTTAGATGAGGATATTAAGGATGAAGATAAGACCTTAATATTGTTGAATTCCTTGCCGGACTCTTATGAGCATTTTGTTACCACTATTATGCATGGTAAAGAAACTGTGAAATTTGAAGATGTGTCAAATGCCTTGATGAATTATGAAATGAGGCATAGAGATAAAAATCATGATAGTACCTCTGAAGCTTTATTTGTTAGAGGTAGATCATCGGAGAGAAGATCATCTTCTAGTAGGAAAAAATCACAGTCTCGACTTAGAGGAAACTCTAAAGGTAGAAAACCTTTGGAAAGAGATGAATGTGCCTTTTGTCATAATAAGGGCCATTGGAAGAAAGATTGTCCTAGGTTGAAGACCAAAGGCAAAGAAAGTTCTGAAGCTAATGTTGCTGAGGTTGAAACAGATTTTTTTTTATTTTGCTTTAACCACTTCCTCATCATTTGATTGTGCTACTAAGTGGGTGTTGGATACGGGTTGTACTCATCATATGACTCCTCACAAGAATTGGTTTTCAAGCTTGAAAGAGTTTGATGGTGGAGTTGTGTTCATGGGAGATGACAATCCTTGCACAACAAAAGGGATTGGTACAGTTCGGTTGAAGTTGCATGATGTCATGGTTAAAGAGTTGACAGGTGTTCGGTATGTACCGAATTTGAAGAAAAATCTTATTTCTTTGGGTACTTTGGAATCCAATGGCTTCAGTTTTCATTCAGATGGACAGACATTAAAAGTTACTTATGGTGCACTTGTTGTGATGAAAGCTCCTCGATGTGGCCATTTGTATTTATTGCAGGGAAGCACTATGACAGGTGAAGCATCTGTAGTCTCTGAAAATATGGGCACATCTGATTCAGATACTACTAGACTGTGGCATATGAGATTAGGCCATGCCGGTGAGAAAGCTCTACAAGGGCTTGTGAAAAACCGTCTTTTAAAAGGTGCCACGACTTGTAAGCTTGATTTCTACGAGCATTGTGTCTTGGGGAAGCAAACTAGAGTGAAGTTTGGTACTGCTGTACATCAGACGAAGGGCATTCTTGATTATGTGCATTCGAATGTTTGGGGTCCTACAAAGACTCCCTCTTTGAGTGGTAGACATTGGTTTGTGACCTTTGTTGATGATTATTCAAGAAGGTCTTGGGTTTACACTATGAAGCACAAGAGTGAGGTATTGAGCATTTTCTTGAGTTGGAAGAAAATGGTTGAGAACCAGACTGGGAGAAAGATTAAGATTTTGAGATCGGATAATGGTGGTGAATACACATCCAACCCTTTCTTTAAAGTTTGCAAAGAGGAAGGAATTGTGAGACATTTCAGTGTTCGGGGAACTCCACAACAAAATGGAGTTGCAGAAAGATTGAATCGAACCTTGCTTGAAAAGGTTAGATGTATGTTGTCTCAGTCAGGTTTAAGCAAGTCATTTTGGGCAGAGGCAGTTAATTATGCATGTCACATCATCAACCGGTTACCCTCAGCTGCTGTTCAGGGTAAGACACCAATGGAGGTATGGACTGGAAAACCTTATTCTGATTATGACTATATCCGTATTTTTGGTTCACCTGCTTATTTTCATGTGACTGAAAATAAACTTGATCCAAGAGCCAAAAAGGCTATCTTTCTTGGTTTTAGTAGTGGTGTCAAAGGTTACAGGTTGTGGTGCCCAGAGATGAAAAAACTTGTAATCAGCAGAGATGTGACATTTGATGAAGAAAGTATGTACAAAGTCTCTGAGAAGAATGTGAAAGATGTCCAACAGGTGGAGCTTGAGAAAGTTGCCTCTGGTACTTCAAATCCTATTTCCGCTGATGTCGAAGCCACTACAAGTGAAGAAGTTGGAGACCATGAGGATGTTGAAGAAGTTGAACTTGAAGATTCTATTCAAGTTGAAGAGGAAGTTTCACCTCAAGAGTCTATTGCCAAGAACAGAGGAAAGAGACAAATTACCAAGCCAGCTCGGTATAGTAACTATGTTTCTTTTGCTCTTCCTATTATCACTGATGAGATTCCATCCAATTTTGAGGAAGCTATTGAGAGTGAAGAAAATGAGAGGTGGTGCAATGCCATGGGTGATGAGATGAATTCTCTCTTGAAGAACAAGACTTGGGAGTTAGCTAAATTGCCTAAGGGCAAGAAAGCTATCGGTTGCAAATGGGTGTATGCTAAAAAAGAAGATGCTGATGAGAAAAGCAATGTGAGATTCAAAGCAAGATTAGTTGCTAAAGGGTATGCACAAAAGGAGGGCATTGACTACAATGAAATATTTTCTCCAGTTGTGAAACACTCCTCAATTCGTATTATGTTAGCTCTTGTTACACAGTATGATCTTGAGCTTGTGCAACTTGATGTGAAAACGGCTTTCCTACATGGTGATTTGAATGAAGAGATTTATATGTGTCAACCGGATGGGTATATAGTGAAAGGGAAGGAGAATTTGTTTTGAAAATTGAAGAAATCACTTTATGGCTTGAAGAAATCTCCAAGGCAATGGTATTTAAGGTTTGATAAATTTATGAGAGGCCAAAATTATTCTAGAAGTCAATATGATCATTGTGTGTACTTCAAGAAGTTGCAAGATGGGTCTTTCATTTATTTATTGATATATGTTGATGATATGTTGATTGCCTCAAAGAATGTTGAAGAGATTGAGAAATTGAAGAAACAAATGAAGAACGAGTTCGAGATGAAGGATCTTGGTGAAGCGAAGAAGATCCTTGGCATGAAGATCACTAGAGATAGAGCAAAGGGTTTCGTCAGTTTGAATCAAAGACAATACCTTGAGAAGTTGATTCGGAAGTTTGGAGTTCATGATTCAACCAAACCGGTTAGTACCTCTTTGGCTCCTCATTTTAAATTGAGTTCTCTACAGTG